AGAGCTGCTGACATGGTCAGAAACTCCAGTTTGTTAGCTTTTATTTACAGGGAGTGGCAGCTCTACATACCAGACTTACATCCTCTGCCCCCAATCAGCTGAAACCCATAATACCTGTTCAGACTGGATTGGGGAAAATAAGACTTTTCAACAGTTATTATTAATCTGATTTTGTGATTGGGGCAACTATCAGACCAAGATAATGGCGGATTATCAAACAGAAATTTAGACCATTATAGTTTACTCTTGACCTATGACTAATTTTATGATGTAGTTAAGTAGGAATTGGCCAATTCAAACATTTTCTGGCACCAAACTGGGCCCATGACCTCAGCAGGTTGGACTTTTAACAGCTTATTTGACTGTTGTTATGGTTACGAGTGAAAATTGAACACCTCACCCAAACCCTATCGATACCTCGATGTGTAAAGTCCACTGGCAGCTATTATAATTCTTTGTGGGTAATCCCCCACCATCACAGGCATTTCAAGCACACACGAGCAATACAGTCCCCACAACTTATCCAACAAAAACGCTTCTTTTACGGCCGATTATGGCCGTCAAATACCGGGAAATCAGTCACAGGCGGTGTAGTGTTAGCGGCGATGCTAGCCAAAGCAATTCCGGATAATTATCCCAAACCGAAAACAAAAGCAGCAACAGGTTCCCCATAGCCCGAGGTAACAAATATCGTATCTATAATTACACATGCCGGCTGTAAGCCACCGTGATAAGCTTCTCGCCTGCCGCACCGGTTTACGCGCAGCCGTTACGGCCGTTAACGGTTAACGGCCATGCTAGCAGGCTAACTCCACGATTCAAACGAGCCCCTCGCGCACAGACGTTTGAAAAAAAGAACATCCGCGAGCCATGTTACGACCAACGGCAGGATTAAAACCAGCCCTGCCCCGATAACCCGCAAACCACGGCCGGTAAAATACTCACCATGTCTGTGTGGGTCTGAACGGTTGGTCTGCTAGCGCTACCGGAGAGAGGAAATGGACGGTTGCCACTTAGAAGGCAGGGCTGGCTGGACGGCGAACCACCGCTGTCCGGGTCCCTGTATTCCTCCGCACAGTGTGTGTGTGTGTGTGTTACATCGCGCCCTGGTTCTGCGCATGCGCACTGGGCCCCTTTAAAAACGTCCTTAAATTGTGTTTTTTAGGGGGGCAAATGTTATCGATCATACATATAATCACTCAAGAGACGCGTTCTCAAGTAAATCAAAAGCTCAATTAATTTTTAGAGAGTTTCCCTAATTAACAGCAATATTCACATTACAACACATCTCACTCTATTTACACTTAAACTTCATTTTTTTTAATTGTATCTGTTCTTAATTCTGTGTGTTTGTTGCATATTATGCACCACAATCACGTCAACCGTGGAAAAACTTGTCAAATAAACCAAATTCTGATTCTGATTAAATGTTAATGTCAGCTGCTAGTGATGAACTTGTGACCTATGAAGACTTTTTATTTATTCATGTTTTTTACTGCATTACACTATCCACTTACTCTGTTTAAAATGAAAAAGCCTTTTGCTGGTATTTGGACGTGTGTTTGAGCAGTTTTCCCATCATAGGTCGATGAGCACAACAGTTGAGTTTTCAACTGGAAAATCCTAATTAATATGTAGGTAAAATATGTTTCTACTTAAATTAAAGTCCTCTGTCAGAAAGATATTATGTCTTCACCAGGTGTAATTTCCCTCTGAAATCAGTTTGTGATTCATATGCATAGAAGTGTATCTTCTAAACTTAATCATCAACAGCATCAAATAAGTATCTTTCAAACTTCTGTGCAGTCCTCACCAAAAAGGTTCTCATTAAATTAATCTTAGATATCAATACAGTATTATTATATTTAATTTTTTTCTGGCAACATATAAGCTACTACACGGCAGCAATCTATCTTCAAATTTTCTAGCTATTTGGAAATATGATTTATTAGACCTTCATCAGACCAACATTAATGACATTTTAATCATTTACATCCTTTTGAGCGGATTTCATCATTATTTCACTGGATTAAAAAAAATCCACAATAACCTTTCAAACACACACAATACAAAACGTCACATGTTGAATAATTATTTCTATAAATATATTTTCTCATAAAAAAAATAAATACAGATGTTTCTTCCGGAGAAAGCCTCCACATGTGCATCATGCCCACAATAAGAGTGGTGGACTACTTTGCGTCGCACCTATTTTTATGTAGCGGAAGGATATGCTCGAAAAGTCGCAACAGGCTTCTCGGTGAAGGCTGCTGCTTTGGTTTTCAAAGGCGAGATTTGATTGGACAGGACGGAGCCGCAATGTT